CCCGGACAGCCAGAAACCGAAAGGGAAGCCCAAGGAAAGTTCACTGCGTGGCGGTCCCCAAGACAACGATGTTTTCGACCTAGGATTGGTGAATCCCGAGCCCCTGGCCAAGGACATAGTGACCAACCATCGGGGGTACTTCAAGGAGACGGGACTGAGGCGCTTCAATGGCACCACATTGGGCTATGTGACCCCAGTAAGTGGGAGGGAAAATACCCCCCTATTTGTGTATGTATAGTGAATGCATCGTTTACTTTTTTTAGTGGAACTCTCATGGCTATGATGTGGCCAAGATATTTGCCAAGAAGTTCGACATCATCTCGCCTGTTTGGCTGCAGATTGTGAAGCAGGGAGATCGCTATGCCGTGGCAGGAACCCACGACATCGATGCAGGCTGGGTGAGCGATGTCAGGAGGAAGGGAAAACAGGCCCACAATCAGCGAACAGTGAAGGGTATACACATTTTATCCCGTTTCTGCAATCTCAAACTTACGATCCTTAAATTTTAGTGTTTCCCCGCTTCATATTCGACCACTTTACCGATCGGGACATCAAGCTACTGCTTAGCGATGCACATGAGAGGACAAAAGTAAACGAAGTGCTGATCAAGTGCTGCAAGGATAATGGCTTCGATGGCCTCGTCCTGGAGGTGTGGTCCCAACTGGCTGGACGGATAGATGATAAGATCCTATACGCATTGGTTCTGCAAATGGGTGGGTTTAATGAGTTAAATAATGTTTTAATCATTATTAAGCTCAGTTCCGCCTGCAGCCAAGGAACTTCAGAAACAGCAGCTGCGCCTCATCCTAGTTATTCCCCCATTTCGCAAGGATACGGGACATCTTTTCGGAGAGAAGCACATGGACAAGCTGTTTAAGCACATATTCGCCTTCTCGCTAATGACCTACGACTTCTCCAGCGTGCAGCGCCCTGGAGCGAATGCACCCCTCTATTTCGTCCGCAAGGCGGTTGAGACTATTGCCCCAGAAGGTTGTCCTGATATGGCTGCAAAGCGTGCTAAAATTCTGATGGGCCTGAACATGTACGGCAATGATTATACGCCTGATGGCGGTGGACCCATCACCTTCTCACAGTACTTGGATCTGGTGAGGCATGTGAAGAAGCATTTGACTTACGACGAGCGGGATGTTGAGAATTTCTTCGAAATCAAGTGAGTTTATATTTGCTTGAGTTTGAGGTGAAGACTGTTAATTTTGTTGTATTTTCAGAAATGATGACGGTCGCCACATTGTCTTCTATCCCACTCTCTACTCTATCAACGAGCGCATTAAGCTGGCCCAGGAGCTGGGCACTGGCATTTCCATCTGGGAACTCGGGCAGGGCCTAAACTATTTCTACGATCTCTTTTAGTTAGTTTGTAAGCAGCATGCAATGCACAAAATGAACTGTCCGCTAAAATAGCTAAAACGCTTCTTACCAATCAATAAACACATTTTTTATTTTTGCCTAAGGATTAATAAGCAAGAAAAAACTGAATACTATGCAAAATGCCATTGTAATTTAAATTTAAGATAGTGCGCCAAATAGACTCCCCAGCCCTGTAAAAATGATCGGTTGTTGCAAAGCATAAATTTTTTATCGATGCATTTTTGATACAAATACTGAATGATCGATTCTATCGTTGTCGTTAAATTATTTTATAGTCTGTTCAGGGGGTTTTCTGCATCCTTTTGTATTTGTATTGTATTAAAGTGTCTTCCTAAAGCTGCAAGTTTGGAAGCAATTACAAATAACTATTATATACATTTCACTTTAAACTAATATGGTACCCTTAGTCGCTTTCTATATTGAATTTGATCTGTGTAATGTTATTTTTAAGGTGTGAGATTAATTTTATCTTGAAATACGTGGGCCTGCTAATATTCTAAAGAATATTGGGAGGCAATTTCATGATCGAATAGCATTAATAAATAATTGTCTTTCGGGTTTCATCTGTGTCTTATACATGGGACACAGTCCCTGCTATGTTATTAAACAATTTTTGTTTTGACCGATAGTATCACTAGTAGAACTACATTTTCACATTCTCTTTTGAGTGTGAATTTTGTTTTAAACGATCGTAACACAAGTATAACTACATTTTCCCTTTCTCTTTTGAGTGTGAACGGGACAATGTTTCGCTGTGTGTAGAGGATATAACCGTGGCTATTGTTTGAGCAGGCTTATCGGTCTATCGAAAGATGTTTTCTCAGCTCTAAACGGATGGCTCGGCCATTTCGTTTTTGTCTTCACCCCAATAAAGTTGATAGACCTACAAGTAAGATTTTTTGAATTTAATTTCGTGGGAAATAATTTGTGACAAAGTATAGTAAATGTGCTTCTGCACAGCCAGTGTAATGGAAAAATGTTAAAGCTAATTTAAAGAGGAAAATTCTAAACTATGCAGCGTGTTTTGTAAAAAATCAATTTTTTCCTTTGTTACACCACGTGTTCCAAAATGGCGACTGTTAGAAAATGCCGTGGAATGATGAATACCTTAAATACCTTTTGCGGTTTCCACCAGAAGGCTTCGGCCTAAAGATGGGCTTAGGCGTCTGACTCAACATCAGATAAACAAATCTTCCATTACCAACACGGAACTAACCTAATTTCGATCACTTTTTCCCTTCCAGAATGGCGGACGCAGCTCCAGCCCGTAGTGGATTCCGTGGCGGATTTGGCTCTCGTGGTGGTCGTGGTGGACGCGGTCGTGGCCGTGGACGCGGCGCCCGCGGTCGTGGCGGCAAGGAGGACTCCAAGGAGTGGGTGCCAGTTACCAAGCTAGGTCGCCTGGTGCGCGAGGGCAAGATCAAGTCTTTGGAGGAGATCTACCTGTACTCCCTTCCCATCAAAGAGTTCGAGATCATCGACTTCTTCCTGGGATCCGCGCTGAAGGACGAGGTGCTGAAGATCATGCCCGTGCAGAAGCAGACGCGTGCTGGTCAGCGTACCCGTTTCAAGGCCTTCGTGGCCATCGGCGACAACAACGGCCACATTGGTCTGGGTGTTAAGTGCAGCAAGGAAGTGGCCACCGCCATCCGCGGCGCCATCATCCTGGCCAAGCTGTCCGTGGTGCCCGTGCGCCGTGGCTACTGGGGCAACAAGATCGGCAAGCCCCACACCGTGCCCTGCAAGGTCACCGGCAAGTGCGGTTCCGTCTCCGTGCGCCTCATCCCCGCCCCCCGTGGTACCGGCATCGTCTCGGCCCCCGTGCCCAAGAAGCTGCTGACCATGGCCGGTATTGAGGATTGCTACACCTCGGCCCGTGGCTCCACTGGAACCCTCGGCAACTTCGCCAAGGCCACCTATGCTGCCATCGCCAAGACGTACGCCTACTTGACCCCCGATCTGTGGAAGGAGATGCCCCTGGGCTCCACTCCCTACCATGCATACTCGGACTTCCTGTCCAAGCCCACTCCTCGCCTGCACGCCGATGCCTAAGTGAGCACCATCGAGGCCAAGTAATCCAGAGTTTTTGAATAAAGTCATAAACCTTAAAATATAATAAGTTGGTTTATATTATTGTGGGAATGGGGAAGGTTGAAGGCGGAACTATCTTAACATGGAAATTGCTTATAAAGTTTTGAATATAATAATTTGTAAAGGAGCTTATTTAGGTCTTGCGGTTATATAAAAAGAATGCTATTCTTTTGAGTAGTTCCAAAATATGGCACAAGGATATTCAAAATCGGTTTCCTTACAAAAATTTCAATTATTTCTCTAATATGCAAAAAGTATGGAGCTAGTTGACAACATGTCAAGTCAACCAACAAACTAGGATGTTATACAACCCACCCGTTCAAATAATGAAGAACCCATTATATGCCGCTTAAATTACTTTAATATTTAAAACATTACACTTAGTATAGACAGGCCAAAGATCTACGCTTTTACTCCGTACGCCTCCGGCATACGCTCGATCGCGTACTTGTGCGCCGCCACGTACATGATGGGCACACCGGGAATCTTCCGGATGCGGTTCTTCAGGTCCTTGTCGTTGGTGGCCACGATGTAGCACTTGTGCTGACGCACCCGTTCCACCAGGCAGTCGTCCGCATAGGTGCCCTTGTGCAGGCAGGGCAGTCGCTCGAATCGGGGATCGGAGATGATGCGCAGGGCCAGTTTGTACTTGTTGCCCAGCTTCTCCAGCTCGGCGCGCACGCAGTCGGAGATGTATGGTATGCACTTGGCGTACAGGCAGTCCATCATTCCCTGTACAATGTCCAGCTTGTTCTTGATGCTGAAATTGATGAAGTTCGTGTCCAGGACGACGTGATACGGCGGACCAAGCTGGGTGTTGTACTGGAAGAATAGGGCGGAGCTCTGCTGGGTGGCCTCGTGCACCTTGAGCTGATGTGGATCCTCGACCGCCTTCTTTTTCTTACGGAGCTGATCTTTGATGCGGGCGTCCGTGGGCTTCATCAAACGTTTTAGCTGCGCATTGCGCTGTTTCTTCACCTTTTGCGTCTTCTTGTGCTTTCCCTGTGATATAAGGAAATTGGTTAAGATAGTATATCTAAAATACAAAAGGGTAGTTACCATTGTGAAGTGTAATTCCTTTAAAAATGTAAACAATACAATTTAAAAAAGGGACACACGTGCGGAAACTATTTTGGTGATCAGCTGTTTGAGCAGCGATGATTGTATAAAACTATCGATTGCAACTCCCTACAATTTTAAATTATATTAAACCTATTGTTTAATACTTTTAATTTTAATTAAATTGATTCCGAATGAAAATGTTTTTTTAGAATAAAAGGTTTATTTGAAATGAAATTTTTCTTTGAAACGTTTTTATGAAACTATTGATTTAGGGAACTACCGTCCAACATTATTATTTTTAAAACAAAATTATATATGATTTTTAAAAATATATGCAAGTTTAAACTTAAATTTCTTATTTAAAAATAAGTCTATCATTTTTTCAAACTACTGCAAAATTAGTTTCAACTAAAATATCGTTTTAAATCATTTTTTAATTTTTTCTTCGATACGATACTTACAGGGTTGCATGCTGGCCTATCGATGGCTCGCCGCCATTTTTACATACACTTTTCCTTCCACGTGCAGCATCGGAAGTCGTTCACTTCTTTTCAAAAATTCGAAGGAAATGGTAAGTGCGCTCCCGCTCAAGTAGATTTTCAATTAAATTAAATATAAAGTGAATTCAATAAAATAAAGTGTTATGCCTCAAATGATGAGACTGATGACGAGACTGAAGGAACATTTTCTCGACCTAGCATTGTATCTTTCAGTGCTTCGTTGAACTATATTTGTTCATTTAAGATGATTCGGCAATCTGATGGCATATAACTTAAACCATTTTGTTGATTAGTTTTGGATAGACTGTGTGCTAAAGATTAATTGTTTATTGCAGTGAGAACTATTGGAACTCGATACCATTTGGTTAAATTGAAATCAATGCATGCCATGTGCATGTGGGACACCTCGGGACAGCATGTGGGGTCGTTGAGACACCTCGGGACATCATGTTAGTTCGTTAAGACACCTCGGGACAACATATGAGGTCGTTGAGACACCTCGAGACAACATGTGAGGTCTTTGAGACACCTCGGGCAATGAGCCTTCTGGGGAGACTTTCCACATTAGAGGTAAGATATTCCCATCTATGCATAAGTAACTTGTGCTATTGTGATGAACTTTTACACAGACCTGTACCGAGATCTAGACTCGTGTGGAAAATTGTAAACTGATAAATTCTAAACAAAGATTTAATATTTCGAAACTTATTTTTATTGCCTGTATATTAATGTGATTCTATTTATTTTCAGGTTGTATTTGCCACTTTAAGGTTATGAGTGGTTGTGGTCGCATCGAACACATGGTTAATTCCAAAAAAGGTACTTATTAACCCCATTCTAGTCTAGTAATATGTTTGACTGATGATTACCTTAAACACCTTTTGCGGTTTCCACCAGAAGGCCTCGGCCTAATGATGGGCTAAGGCGTCTGACTCAAACTTCTACTGAAACCTTTGAATATGTTTTGCTTCGTATCTTACTTATCTTTTCCTCTTTTTATTTTCCAGAATATCTTAGTCTGAGTGGCATTCAAATGCTAAGATTGATTGGATGGACTTTATTTAAAAGGTAATATTTTAAACCGATTATAATTGTAAAGCGATTAAATGATGATTACCTTCAACACCTTTTGCGGTTTCCACCAGAAAGCTTCGGCTTAAGGATGGTCTAAGGCGTCTGATCGCTTTCCTCAACAAATAAATATTTGGTTAATTTGAATACAAATTTTAATATTATTTGTACTTTAATTTCAGGATGACGTTGACCAGAATCTGCAACACGCCAAAACCTTTTGATGTTATATACACAATCTAATAAACAAAGTTACAATAACCACTTAATATTCATTGTATTTATTATTTACGGTGGGGTGCAGAATATATTAATGTAGAGGTTTTGGGGCTTTGAAAAGAAATGTTATGGGTGACACTCAACTGAATTTACAATTTTATAATAAAAGTTGGTTGGAGCAACCTTGCGAAGTGCAATGCATGTGTTATATTATGTTAAGAAATGGCAGGTCATGAACCATGGAAGCATTTTTATCCTAAATAGCTGGCATTTATTTTTTAAAGCAGTTAGCGAAAGTAAGCTAATAAGAAAACAAACATCTTAGTCTAAGAAAGTTTTTACGCGTAATGAATGCAATTTATGGTGATTGCACAACTAAATTCTTAGTAGGTAGTTATAAAAATAAAAAAAAACCTTTAAATTTTAAATCCTGGCGCCAAATTGCCACCCCATTTCGACCACCCCCACCTTCCGATATCGATAACATGGAAAATGAGACGCGCCGGTTTAATCAAACCGCTGTTGCGTATAAATAATAACAAATCGCGGGAATGGAAGAAAAACTACGCCACCCAGGTGGACCCTAACTTGGCGGAGTGTTCGCTGGACCCCAAAGAGTATGTGGAATTCAAGCGACAACTAAGGCAGCTCAACTTGCCCCACAAAGATGGAAACACGTGCTTGCAACTGGAGTGCCGCCTGTGCAACAGGCAGCCATCCCAGAAAACCGGTGACCAAGGGCTGCTGGCTTACGTAAACAAGCGGACGGGTGAGTGTGATAAGTACTTATCTTGGTGATATCCATTATATAAACCCTACCCCCTTAGGAGCATTTATGTGCCCAAACTGCGATGTGAAAACCTCACTGGCAAATGCCTTGGCGGCTTATCAGCTGCCCACGCCGGCTGGTTACAGGCGACTCCCGCAAATACAGCCGCTCCATAAATCCCGATTCCCACACCTCGTCAATGTAACCGCTGAAGCCTGCGAAGCTTTGGGAGTAAAGGGTTTAAAGGAGGACCAACTAAACGCCATTGGAGCTCAGTGGGAGCCGCAACAACAACTGCTGCACTTCAAGTTACGCAATGCCGCCCAAATTGTGGTGGGTGAGAAGGTTTTACATCTGGGCGATCGACGGGAGGAGACCTTCCAGGACAGCTCGAGCTCCGGACTGCTTATCCATGGAGCGGCGAACAAGACCAAAGCGGTACTAGTCAGCAATCTAATGGACTTTATTGTCCTCTCCACACAGAACATTGAAAAGCGTGAGTAGAATCTGAAAGCTCTTATTTTGGTACAACAAATATACTTAACTAACTATGCGAGCTATGCGTTTTGAGCTCTACACATCGGAGCAGCTTATTAAAATTACTTTAATAAATGTTATCATTTTAATTGTCCATCAGATTGCGTTGTATGCCTGCCTTACGGCTTGACGACGCTGCCGCAAGAGTGCCTGCCTGGCTTGGAGCGCTTCAAGGAGTTGATCTTTTGGTTGCACTACGATGCCACACATAGCTGGGATGCAGCTCGAGCATTTGCACTGAAGATGGACGAAAGAAGGTGCCTGCTAATCCGACCCACGGAAACAGAGCCGGCGCCTCATTTGGCATTGGACCGACGCCTCAATCTCCGCCACATCCTGGCTAAAGCAACGCCAGTGCGGCACAAGGCCATCACCACATTTGGAGCGATGCGAAATGACATTCTCAGTGAGTTGCAGAACATCGAAAAAGTTAACGGAGTGAAGTGGAAGCGCTTTCCGGTGCTGAACAAACTGCTCAAGGGCCATCGAAGGGGAGAGTTGACCATCCTCACTGGACCAACGGGCAGTGGGAAGACGACCTTCATGAGCGAGTATTCTCTTGACCTGGCCATGCAGGGTGTTAGCACGCTGTGGGGCTCCTTCGAGATCCGGAACAGCCGGCTGGCGACCACCCTGCTCCGTCAGTATGTGGGCTATCCACTGGACGACCGGTTGAAGGAGTTTGACCATTGGGCAACGGAGTTCGAGCGCCTGCCGCTCTACTTCATGACCTTCCACGGGCAGCAGCCCCTTAAGCCGGTCCTGGAGGCCATCGAGCATGCATCCTATGTACACGATGTGATGCACGTGATCATCGACAACCTGCAGTTCATGATGGGCGTCTCCTCGATTCGGAGCGACAAGTTTTGGGAGCAGGACTCCATAATAGCAGCCTTTCGCTCCTTCGCCACCAAGCACAATGTCCACGTGACGCTGGTAATGCATCCGCGCAAGGAGCGGCAGGAGGACGAGCTGACCACCAGCTCGGTTTTCGGTACGGCGAAGGCGACTCAGGAGGCAGACAACGTACTGATCATCCAGGACAAGCGGTTGACTTCTGTGAGGGGTAAAAAGTATCTGCAGATTGCCAAGAATCGCTATTCCGGGGATCTGGGAATAATGCCTCTGGAATTTGACAAAGATGCCCTCAGTTACTCCTCCCAAATCCAGAGTGCCAAGCGAAAGCGGGATATGGCGCCAACAGAGACTTGACCTATTAAGGCATTTGTTGTACTATACGATATAATTATTCTGTTGTCTATGGCTAGGTTAGGCTTAAGTGAATCCTTTGATTTTTATAAACAGCATCACGTTGAGCTCTGCTTGTAGTTCTTGGTGTTCATTATTTTCTTCCCGCACATCGCACAGATGGCCTTTTTGTAGGCGCACGCCTGGCAATAATGGGCTCCCATCTGGTGGACTTTTTGCCGACAGATCCTGGAAAGGAACAACTTTATTTTAAATGTTTTGGTGGCATTATGAGGATGTTTTCATACCGACAAGGCGCCAAAGCCGTCCCTATGGGATTATATCGCTCGCGAGCCGAGGATAACGCCTTGTTTTCGTTGATTTTTCTACCGCCAGCTGGGGCCGTACTAGTTCTCCATGGATTCGGGGCGGAAACCTTGGACAACTTGGCCTCGCACTTCTCGCAAACCATTTTTCTTATCAATATGTTTTTTATTTACGTTTTACAAAACCAGTGTTACCCCAAGCGGCAAAGGAAAAACTTGATATCGATAAAGGTAAGTTTGTTATCGAACATATTAGTGTTGATTAAATAAAGTAACAAAAATAAAAATAATAAAATGCTGAAATTAAAAAAGTTAAATAGCTTAAAATTTATGATTATGTGTATCTCTCAAAGAATACGAAAATGTTTTTTAATTCCTCTGATTATTTTCTTTGCAAGTAAGTTTCCGATTATAAGCCCTAATTTCTATCGAAATCGGTTTGGTGCTATCAACCATCTCAATTGCAAATTTCGGGAAATAGGAAAAAAATGACGACGGAAAAGAACGACCAACTGAGGTGAATTACAATAAATACATATTCAATAAAGTTCAATTAAATGCCTAGTGATTTCCAGACAACAACTCATTGCGGCGGTTGTGAAGAAGCGCGCAGCGATTGCGCGGGCCCATGAAATCGTGGTGCGACTTTTGGAGCCCGGAATACCTGAGCCCGAGTTCCTGTCCCTGGTAAAACTATGCAAATTTAAAGCTTCATGTGGAGTCTAAGCATTTCCCGTACTTGCAGCTCTGGGGTATTGATCCTCCAAATTATGCAGACGTCGTGGATGAGCGAGAAATAAATAAACTGTGTGGATATCCACTTTGCTCCAGCGTTTTAGAGAAGTAAGTGCTGCTTGGGAATGAAATCGTAACTCTTTAATATTAATTTCTTTTTATTTTAGCGTTCCCAAGCAAAAATACACCATCTCCGCTTCAAAAAACAAGGTATACGACCTGACGGAACGCAAGAAATTCTGCTCTGGGTACTGTTTCAAGGCCTCCGAATACATTAAATCCCAGGTGCCCACATCGCCATTGTGGCTACGTGATCGGGAGACGAGACCCAGCTTCCAGTTGCTGCCTCGAAATACTTGACCAATACATGCAGCTCTCAAAGCGTTTATTTATTTCATATAATAAGCATTAAGACCATTTGTTCATTACATTAGTGGATTTTCGATGTGGGATTATAAACCCTAGGGAATATTACTTAAAGCACTAGACAATCTTGCTTAGATCATGATTATATTGTCGCGCTCTAACGTCAACTCTGCTTCGCGCTTGGCATCCTCTTCAGACCACTCGCCGCACTTGCTCAGCACGTCGGTTTCTCGCGGCGGTTCGGTCTAAAGATTTAGTTAGAGAAGACACGTGCGGATATGATTTACAAATAAGAATGTTGTTTATTTATTTGGTTATGAATTTGGCTCTACCTCTTTGTCGTTGGCAGCCAGTTTGGTGAACATGTTGGCGTAGAGCTTCTTCTCCTTGTCCTTGCTCTCCTTGAGCTTCTGCTTGCAGATGATCACTTGATTGGCAGCCGCCTTGTTGCCGGGCTCCAATTGGATGACCTAAGAAAATATTCTTTATAGTAAGATGAAAAACATAACGCTCATCCTAACCACCTTTTGGAAATCCTCCAGAGCATCGTCCAGCTCGTTGATGGTCAAGTTGCATTGACCACGACGATAAAGAGCCTTGACATTGTTCTGATCCAAAGCCAAAACCTCATTACACTAAAGCATGAATGAATAAACACTAGTTAATTATCGAAGTTAAGGTATTGAACACTAGAAACCAACCTCCTGCTTGGCCTCGAAATGATCGTTGGACTTCTGGTGGCACAAAGCAATGTTGCTGTGCGTGGCCACCTTGACCTTCTTCACCTCCTCGTTGGTATCAGCCGTGTTTGGCAGCAGATTCTTGCACTTGGTGTACATCTTGATGGCCAGGGCCCAGTTCTCCTTCTTGAAGTAGTTGGTGCCCTTCTCCTTATAGACCTTGGACTCCGCCAAGCGCTCCTCGTCGCTCAACTTCCACTCCTCCAACCCCTTGCCACAGTCGACGAGCTTCACTGTGTACTCCACGGTGGAATTGGGGGGGATCTTGAACTCCTCGTTGCCCTCTGCTCCAAATGCATACTTTGCTTGAATTTTGATTCTGTTTTCGGGGGTTTTCGTTAAAGTCCTGATAGTTTAATTTCATCAAAGAGTTTTACCTGGAAGTCTCGCCTATGTTCATCTTCTCTAGGGCAATCTCAACGCCCTCGATAATGCCGATGGCCTTGCCCTCGCCGTAGTCAAACTCCACATCGCGATCCTCAAACACGCGGCCCTCGAAAGCACCAGAAATGTGAGCTGCGTTTAGGAAACCGCATGAGATAAAGTTAACCGCATAGATGTGATAAACCAACCCTTGACGAAGGCACCATCGCTGGGAGTGCGCTTCTTATCGCTGGCCTCCAAAATGGTGCGGTCAATGCTGCCGTCCTGATTGGGACTCAGATCCTCGCCCTTCCAGCCCAGCATCTCCAGCTAAGAGGGGAGAGTTTGTGGGTTAGTTCAGCGTCACATACTTAATTTCAAAATTTCTTTTTAAGATATGTTAGTATTATGATCCAAACTTTACAAAATGTAAAATTATTAGTAAGAAAAACAAAATTTTATCAAGAACTTTCTGGAAAATCTGGAGATTTTGAATGAAAGTTTGTTTTAAAAACGTTTATGATTATTTAAAATATCTTGTTAGTTATTTTCAGTTTGAAATTATAGCAATTCCTACCTCAAAGATCAGAGTAGCATCCGGAGGAATGGCGGGCGGGCTGCCGGCAGCTCCGTAAGCGTAATTGGGAGCACATGTGAGGAAGCAGCGTTCGCCGATTTTCATGGTGGCCACCCCCATGTCAAAGGCCTTGATAACATTGCCTGAAGGAATGGAGCCCGGTGGTCGGAATATAATTTAGAAGTTTCGGGAAAACGCAGGCACTCACCTTTGCCGAGCGGAAATTCGAAGGGCTCATTGCGGCCTACGCTGGAATCGAATTCCGTGCCGTCGACCAGGCGACCCGTGTAGTGCAGGGACACAGTGCATCCGGTGTGCGGCGTCTCTGTGCCCTTGCCCTCTTCCAGGATCTCCTTGAGCACGCCGCCGTCCCCTGACAAGTCGATTTTATTTCCTTCCGGCATTCTTCCCGTTCAATTTAGCACAATTTGACAAAGTGGCCAAGAGCTCGCTGAACTGCCGCAAGAGAAAACGCTAGTGATTTTTTAGTGCCGGGCGATTTTCACCTCTGGTCACACGCAATTGCGGTTGGGTAGAAATCTTTGATATAGCAAGGACTTAGCACCCTTATATTTATAAGGTAGAATAGTATATTCGTAAAACAGTTTGTCACAAGAATATGACATAGACATAAACATTACATATTATGTATACATAAAAAGCCCACTAAGTTCCGTTCTTTTTTTATACCTGTAACTTGTAGAGTAAAAGATTCGTCGGAAAGTATGTATGTAACAGTTACAGGGACCTTATAAAGTATATACATATATTCTTGATCAGGATAACTAGCTTGTAGATCTAGCCATATCCGTCTGGTTGTCTGTCTGCATGAACGCAGAGATTTTGGAAACTTTAAGAGCTAGAATGCATATCTTCCTTTCTTGCTCCCTCTTTAGCTAAATAACGGGCCATCGAAAAAGAAAATAAATATTAAAAAATTAAGATATAGAACATCCATAATAATGATCAAAGCCCCAGTACTTGCATAGTCAATGGCCCTGGCAGTTGGTACTATAAGTTCCTTTGTTAGACTTAGTTTAGTAAGCAACACCATCTTACAAATAATTGACTGAAATCTTTCAAACGATTGAAGTGTGAAACTCCTAACTTCTAATTTCTATAAAATTTCGCTTTTTTATTATAATGGTTAAAGAACATTTGGCTTTAAACTTCTTAATAAATTAGAAATATAACAAAATTAATACAATTTAAAAATTTATTTATAACACATGTTGTTACGAGGGATGGTTGTTAAATTAATACATTTTATTTTATATTTTGGCATCTACTTAAGTACATTCATTTAATAACACTCTTCTTTCATACAGCAATAAGTAAAAGGCAATGTTTTTGGTTAATCTGTTTAAACCCCAATTAATAAAATTAAAGCTGGTTCTTGTCAATTTTATTGTGATGGCTGCGACCTACACACACAGTGCCACACAAATGTAAGCTGCCCAGCGGCCTTTAAATGCATGTGCATCCTTACAAATGTGTGCAGTGTGCATCAAATATAATCCTGTTATCGTTTTTGTTATATTTGATTATTTTGCCCTTGGCTTTTGGCAGTGCCAAGTTCCATTTTGTATTCCAGCACGAGCAACAAAATAAATTAATGCACTTAATTTTATTGGTTTCTATAATTCATGCTCGTAAGCTCGCCAGCTATAAGCTCTGCACGGTAGGGCAATTGGGGGATTAAGGCAATGGTCATTCGGCCTTTTTTGTTCAAGGTCAACTGGGATGATAAAAAATGATAAGAATATTAGGTTGGCATTATTTTGGGGGTTTGACGTTGTCTCCTTTGATTTCCGCGTGTGTCTTTATAAATTGGTGCAGCTGTCGCTGTCTCCTGCTCACTAAAATATTAGACAGTCATCAACCAGCGCTTCATCCCAGTTTCGGCTTCTGAAAGCCCAGAGTTTGGCACACTTGTCGCTCATTAATTAGGGTTCGCCAGCTTGGATAAGTACACTGAAAAAGTGTATTTTAAAATGATTTTAAATAGAGAAAATTAAGTATAGTATTTAAAAAGTGAAAATTAATACGTTCTTTCTATACTCCGTATTGAAACTGCTAGCCAAATTCAATTTCTGAAGCTCTTTGGGCCTTTGAAACATTTCTGCATTATAAAACGTGTCAACATTATTTTTATAAAATTAAAATTCGGTTATATGTTTAAGTTTTTTAGTATTTTAAACACTTTTTAGTATTATCGAAATATTACGAAGCGTATACGTAATATTATTAAGTATACGTGTTTAACTGTCGATTTTATATAAATCTTTTAAAATCAAGTGATAAACTCTATAGCCTATTGTAATCCTATCACCAAGAATGACAAAGGGATCTCTGTTTGCTGGTAATACTTTCTTTTCGGATTGCTGAGCTCGAATAGCATATTAGCACATGAGATTCAAGATCTCCAGAGATTTCGGCGGCACCCTCGAATGTAGCATATTAATTTTTTTTGAGTGCCTGGTGCCGTGTCCACGTCCAGGTCCATTATTTTTTCAGGTATAGAGACATTGACCAGCGACGACCGCCCACACTCACGCTGTCGCAGTTGGCGTCGTGGCTCGTTACTCGACTGTAAACATTCCAGGGCAGCTTTCACTCGGGGATTGAGCACGGAATATCCACTGGAGGAGCTCTCGACCGGATGGAACTCACTCGGGAGGCTGGGAAAAACTCACTCAAATGCTCGGCTCCGGTCGGCTGGAAGCTTCGTTTTCCGTTTCGGATTGAGCCACTGTGGATGCTGCGTGGTTCGTGGTCCATGGCCGTGTGAAAAGCTGCGTTGAGCGCATTAAGTCGTTAGGGTACAACCAGACAGGACGCACTTTCCACTTTCTCCGAGAGCTGCCGCCTGCCTTGGCGTGTGTGTACCGTTAGTTCAGCTGTGTCCTGTGCCCTGTGTCCTGTGCAGAGAGGGAAATTAGCGGGGAAGCCCCAGCATCTCGGAATCGTAGTCAAAGTCAAAGTCAACGCAAGGAAACCGAAACCTAATCGAATAGTGGTTGAACAGCTTCTTGACTAGTGGGTGCGTGAAGAAACTCCCGAAAAAGTAAAAATACTCCAAACTCCCTCCCGCGTACAAGTGTGTGTAAGTGTCGTCTGTGCGTGTGTGCGTGCGTTTCCGTTTCCCCCAAAACTTCAGCTCGAGTGTGTTCATCAACAAATAAAAAAATCAAATCAAATTTAAATCCAAACGACAACTAAAAAATTGCATTAAACGATAGCCAATTAAAAATGTTTGCTTAAACGAACCAAGGTAAACAGAAAAACAGCAAAATTGTTGCTTCCTCTTGCATCCCAGCTCTACGCTTTTCTGATTTTCCACACTCCCACTTTCTGTTTTTCCCCCACAAAACCAATGCACTCGCTCCGGTGCAACAGCTTAAAAGTGTGTTACGATTTTTCCCACTCAATATTTCGTGTAATTGTTGCGCCTGCTGCTGGGCTACATGTCCTGCAACTGGGGAAATGTTTGGATTCCCATTTCCAAGGATTCGGACTCGGATTCGGAACTGTATTCGTGCAAATTAAAATTATTTAACGAGCTTCTAGTGAGCAGTCCGCACTTAAATATTCCTGCCAAATACCATATGAAATGCCACAAACTTGTTGGAGATTTTATTTAGACCAAGTTGGTTTAGTTATTTCCGAAATATTTTCGTTTGTCCGGGGGCCAAAGAGGTTATTTCAGATTTGGTTGGGCTGCAACAAATTTCGTTTGATTTGTGGCAAGCCACAAAGAAAATAACTGAGTTTGGTGTGTGTTATAAAATTGTGTAAACAGATGCAGGGAGAAAACATAAAGTTTGGCAGCGAATCGCCCATTCGTAAGCCCAACGAAGTGCATTTCAGTTTTCAGTTTTTCCTGCTCGTATTTGGCTTATAAACTGTTGCTTCCGACAGTTATCTCCACGAATCGGAGCAATTTTCCCAGGGCTGGCGGAGGGAAATCCCAGGCGATTTCCTTTCCTTCCTCCCCTTTTTATTTCCACTCGCTTGCACATTTTTTGCTTGGCTTTTCCCTCCTTTTTTGTGCGGTCTGGTTAAGCTTTGACTGATTGTTTTATTGGAATCAAAACCAAAATCAAAATGGAAATCGAAATCAGAGCGACTTAAGCGCCCATTTATTGCGATTTAAAACGCACATTTTTGTGGCTGATTGTTTGAAGGGGTTGTTGGACTCGCTGCTGTTGCGATAATTAAAATTTAATTGTACCCAACTTAAATGGCGAATGCATTGTGCCGAGATTGTTGCCAGTGCTTTCATACGAAATTGCAGTTCTGTGGTTTTTGCTTCTGGATTTTCGCCCCCTCCTCTCCTTTTGCAATTAACATTTGCACTGTTATCAATCAGTTGGTAAAAAGTAAAACTTTTCTTTTAGCCATTTCCCCCTACTCTCTTCATTTTCTCCTTCCTCCTCCAGCCTCCTTATCATTTAATTTGGCAAAAGGGAAGAAAACTTTTCTGCCAAACTAACAACTGGCAAAAGCAGCAACCACACATACATACATATGGGGAAAAGTACGAAAAAAAGAAAGCAACCAGAACGCGGCGTGTCTAAGTGGGCGTAAGTGGTCATGTATATGTGTGCGTCTCTGTGCGAATGTGCTCGTATGTGACTCTGTGTGTGTGTGGCGTGTTGAGTGGCAAGTTGTGTACACACGCAGATTTTTCATCAATCATTTTGCTTGACTACGCCTAGTTCACATTTTAGGGCATGTAGTTTAAAAATTGGGCCGCAGCCCATCGATAGTTGGATGTTAGATGTTAGATGTTGGCTGTGGCACAGGGGAATCCCCGGAGGAGGGAGCACGTGGTGCCACTCGGAAACATGAGACGAATGAGGCAGATCGAATGGCGCCTGAATTGGGAAAGGGAGGCCACCCAAGGGCTTATTGCTTTAAGACCTTTAAGGGTCTGAAATAAAAGAGAATCACAAAAATGTAGAAAGATTACTTTAACAATGATATCTCTTTCAAAGGGTTTTTAAATAAAATTAAAATAATATTACCCAGACAAGTTTAATCTCATTTGAGTTGTAGGGTTAAACAGTCGCTGTCTATTTTCTCAAGTGTTCAGCTAATAACTCAATTAACATAAGTCAGTTAACGTATCGAATTTATTACCTTATTTGTTATACGCCCATGGCATATAAACGTAATCGCCTCTGTCAAATATCAATTCAATGTGTGCTTTGTGAGTGGCTTATTGTTTCGATTGCATTAGTTGATTGAGTAGAGTTTTTCGTTTACAGATTTAAAGTAAAATAAAATAAATATTTCAAGCAGCTTCATTATTTTTTATCTTTTATAAAGATCCTTTTCCATTAATTCTCGTTTAAAATGTTTATTTTAAACTTTATCTTATTGCAATAAATTCATTTTAAATGTGCACTTTGACAAGCTTCAGGCTTTATTTTTTCACAATAAATAAAAAGTTATAAATGTTTTGAATTTGCAGCCAGGCAGAATATTAGTTTCAATCGATGTTTTTACCCTAGGGCGGCGGTTAATAAATAAATAGATGAATTCAAATAATAAATAAAATAAAAACTTTGTTCTAGGAAAATGTGTGGCTTACTGTTTATTAAAGCCAATGTTCTGGTATAGTTAAACCAATATCTTTCTTGATTATTTTTCAATAAATTTAACCTTATTTACTCACAAATGCTCTGTTTTCGAATTGAGTTAAGACAAATAAAATATTAGAGTAAATTCAGGCGGAGCTTCATTTGCAAGAATGGTATTATCTTTTTGTGAAATTCCTTTCAAGTTCGACCTGCCTCAGGACTGTTTATTATGATTTCAACTCGGATTGCTTTGAATATCTTTGTCCTTTTCGAATTGCCTTCTGCCACTTTCTCCCACTTTTTTTCGTCCAGTTCGATTTGGCATTTGAGCAGACATAATAAAGAGCCGAAATGGAAGAAAGGTAGAGTGTGTGTGTATGTGTGTACCTTAATTCTAAACGCTAAAGTCACACTGACACAAATAAATGGAAATCAAATACACACGCACTGGCACACATACCGATGCAGATGGAGTTGTCGAAATTGCTCCACTTTGCGTGTGTATTCGCCTGGCTGTGTGGGTGTCTATCTGTCTGCGAGAATCCAAAATCCCGAATCCAACCCCCGTCATCAACCTGCACCGAAACACTTAAACCTAAACACGTTGTCTGTGTTGGTTGTGCTGTTTGTGTGTGTGTTGGTGAGTCGTCCTTTTTACTGGCGTCTACGCACAATATGTTTCGTCTTTAACCCAACCGAAAGCTTCGTCAGACGAGAGCTTCAAGGAGTCCTGAGTCCTGAGTCCTTGCTCCTTGTTTCTGGTGCCTTGTGGAAGTTTTAATGTGATTCCTTCGTATTAATTTCGACATCGTCATCGTTGCTGCCCTTTGTCCTCCCCTTTCTCCGCCGCTCCTTACTCTCCACTTTCTCTCTCTCTTTCTCTCTGTTATTTTCTATTTTTCTCCTTACGCACTTTTTTTATTGCCCGTCCTGCGTTTGCCTTCGTTTCTATTTTATTTTAACAACATCTTCGTCGCCAGCATGGAATTCTGTCGAGCTCGGCGCTTTCCCTCAGCACTAACTTAACCGTTACCCATCCCGCTCTCGCTTTCTCCACTTTCTCTTCGGCTGTCTGCATGTGTGAGTAACTTTTTTTTTTCGTTGCTCACTCTTTTTTATGTTCATCATACGAAAGCGCGACTTTGTTGCACTAAACGTAAGTTGGAAGATTTACAACTTTTTGGTTAAACACACACTTGCATTGGATAAGTTGGGGGTGAAAAAAGTGGGGTAGGTAGGCTGTTGGGGGTGAAGGCCACGCACAAAGTCTCTCAGGAATTGCAAAAAAAATAAAAACACCAGGGAGTGCATAAGGTTTATCACTATGCGGACTGAGGCAGACTTGCCCCCGTAAACTTATCCTTAAAAGAAAAGTTATTATGCATGAAATGCAGAATTTTACGTAGAAGTTACGCATTTTTTTGGGGGTCGTTTTTTATTAGCCTGAAATGTGAGGCATGAGCAATTAGCAAAAGTCCCTGAATACTGAGGGGGTCAGCAAATGTAATAGTTAGGATGGATAGGGCAGTACCTGAAAGTGTAGTTTTAAGTTTAAGTATGCCTCTGAAAATGTTGCGAAACAATATGAGAAACTTCCAGGCGGGTAATTCAATTTTTTATGAATGCAGCGGCTGAAAATGCTCAAGTTACTTATTCAATTTTATATAGCTTGCAAGAATGCAATTATAGTTGAATTTCTCTAGCTTGAGTAGGAGTTAAGTTCATAAAATGTACAGAGTTACAGCAAAGGGGAATTGGTATATTTTATTCCTTATCATCCATAGATACGTTGATCATTTTTAAATGTTGGAAGCACAAGTCGCAACTATTAAGGCTCTTCTGTAATTTTAAAAACGTTTTATACGGATGTAAAATCTTCTAAATTCAATTTGGGAATAGTAAACTTTAAAATTAAAAAACTTCATCTAGAAAATCATTTAAAATTTAAATGAAAGTATATTCGTGTTGAATCGAAGAGCTTGAAATGTTTTTAATTAAGTAAATTAAGAACTTTGGTTAGAACTTTCGCAGACACACGTGCGTCTGAATACGTCAAAAAACGTAACTTTGCAAATCTAAAAGCAATTATTTTAATCCCAACTTTAGATCTCGGAAATTTCACCCGTTGTCCAAGTTTCAATTGGCAAACAAAGGGGGAAAGTTTTTTAATTGCTCATTACGTCTGAATCAGGTTGCTGCGCTTGCCGCAGTGGCAAAGCCGCAGATTTTCATCATACGTACATCAAAAGCATTTCTAATCAGCAGGCAGTCGGCAAAACCAACAGCAACAACAGCAGCAACAATAACAATGGGAAAGGGGAAAGCGCAAACAAGTTGCAAGTTTACTTTTCCTCCTTTCCTGGCATTTCGCTTTCCCTCTCCTTTTTTTGCCAGCTATTGTTACGTTTGCGTATGTACGGATGAGCACACTGGAAAAAATAAATACATTTTTTAACTGGTTTTTTAAGGTACTAAAACAGAAAACTTAGATTTAACTAGGGATAGCCCCAAATGTTTTTTACGCTTCCTTTATAATCAAAATCATTTTAGAGAGGCTTAAAAATGTTCAAAAATTCAACATTGTTCAACATTTTTTCTCCTTACTTGTGTGTATGTATGTGTGCGTGGGAATTGGAGCACGTAACAAAAAAAAAACGAGCAGAGACACCGCACAGAAATAGAAATCATTTGAAATCATGCCGCACTCATAAAACACTTAAAGGACAATTTTGCTGTCATACAGAAAAAAAGGGGGAAATCTGCCCTTGCTTTTCGCTTTTCCTTGGCGGCCTGGGGTTAATTAAATAAATTCCTAAGCCACTTTTGCCCGAGCAGAGGCTTCATAAATTTTTGAACAAATACTGCCAAAAAAAAACAGCAGACCAAAAAGGAAAACGAATTGGTTATACATAAATATTTCGTGTGCGTGTGTATGTACGCACGGGTTTTCAGCAAGCTTTCACCCGCAAGACAACAACAACAGAGTGCTTGCAACAATTGGCAGGACTCCGTTTGGCGTGCTCTTCCAAGTGTAAACAGAAGTTGAGCTGGTCGAGTCCTTTTCCAATTGAACTCTCTTTCGCTCAAACTGAGTTTCAATTCGACTCACTCAAACATTCCATCAATGGACCGATGAGTCCTGTGCCACTGATAACAGCCGCACACACACACACACAGACAGGCAGACACACACACACACGCACGGATAGAGCTGTTTAAAAAGATGTCCTGGCGCAAAAAAAGCGAAAAATACACCGATTTCTAAGAGTAACAGCGCGGAAAACGTTTGATAACGCCGCGCGCACAAAAGTGCGCTACACAAAAGCCAGTTCGCTCTCTCTAACTCCCTGCTCCTCTGCCTCTTCCTCTTCCTCTTACTCTCTTTCCCGCCTCCTGTCTGTGTGAGCTTCCGGTGCACTATAGGCTGGCTGACCACTTTTTGTGGCCAAAAATCCATTTTTCGAAAGTCGTTAATATTAAAATCTAATGAAGTCAAAGTGTTGGGAAAACTTCAAACTTCAATGTTACGCAACAGAAATTTTAACAGAGTTACGATCTGTTAAAATATCGGCTGTTAAAACAGCTGTTCGGTGTCACGGGCGCACGAAAGCTACTTTGTGAAAAAAAGAGTCGGTTTAAAATTATAAAAATAAGGCACCAAACTAATTTTTTACCAAACAAGTTATAATGGCATCGAAAGATAGCGGTTTGTACTTTATGTTTGTGGTCGTCACAAGTTGGATTTGTTTGTGTTGTCCCTGTAATTGAGTGTTTTTTATAGTCGCTTTACGTGTACAAATTTACAATAAAAACTAACTTTAAATAGAGATATAAAGTGAGTTTCACCTAGTTTCACCTTAATATTTACACTGTGTTGTCGGTAGTTCAGTTCTTGTTCATATGAATGCTATCCTAAAGTGCACTTTTGCGCACTTTCGTCGCAATTTACCTTTTTAGGTCACAACCTCAGGTTGGACAACTCAGAATTGTTTTCGATTTAACATGTGAAAAATGGGCGGCGCCACACCTTTTTTCTAAATATATGTTCATTATATCGATATAAATCCAAATCAAAAATATACACCTCTAAATTATGTTTTGTTTTTAGGGTAAGTTCTTTCTTATATATTTTTATAATATTTTTTATGATACAACTAGAAATTTCTCCAAAATGGGGCGTTGCCACTCCTTTTTCTGTTAGTTTGCTAATTATAAGCCCAAATATAAGAACCGAACTCAAATATTTGGATTTGCTTGAAGTTATTAATTTTGGCCACAAAAAGTGTTCAGCCAGCCTATAGTGCGGTGTGCCCCTGTGTATTTGACTGTGTAGGTGGTAGTAAATAAGCAAGAGGCAAAGACGGAAATAAAAAGGGCAGCAAGTGGACAAGACAATGAAATTGTCATAAATAACAACGTTGTCTACCAACAACAGGCTACAAAGCAACAAAAAATTGTAGCAACAACAAAGGCGACAGGATAACCAACTACAACAACAACAACAACAACAATGATCCCAACTAGCTGAGTGACTGGGACTTTCTTTTTTTTTTTGGTGTCCTTTGGTCAGTGGCTCAACTCTTTTTATCATTTTCAGCAGTTACCCCGTCCCCAGGGTATTATTCGGGTAGATTTAGTTGATGGCACTCGCCGAGAAAAAATTCGAAGCTCGGAGGTGTATTTTTATGTGAGAAACTGAGAAGTGGCGAAAGTGAAAACGCTTAACAGGGATTAGGGGTCGTTTTGGACAAATTCCGTAAATGAAGCGAACTTTGGTGGGTAAAATATTATCAGAACAATGTGAAGATAGCCATAGTGTAGTCTTTAGTTTGCTTTTTTACATACCAAATCGGTAAAGTAAAAAAATCATAATTATCTGCGAACATATTCACCTTAAACTGGGGCATTTTCGTAACTTTCAAGCTTTTAAATCTTCAATTACAAATTTTATTACTACTACTACTATTAGAAAACCCCTTTCCCCTAAGAGTTATACTTAGATTAAATTCGATTTGCCACACAAACACACTGAGTCATGTATTTCTTGGTATCTAAAGTTATCTAATTTCCTGGCCATCGATAACTGATTGATTTATGGGAAAAGTAAAAAAACAAACTTTTGCCTAGGAACTCACTCGAGGGACTCTCATCATTCGAGTAGCTTCAGATGGTACTCTTCTATATATTCGTTCGTTCTTTTTACTGTATTTCCCATCTATACTCCTTTCATTTCAGTTGCCTTCTGTTCTTCTAGTTTCTTTTTTTTATATATTTTTTATTTTTATTATAGTTTGCCCTGTGTTCTCATAACGGATATTCGAAATGGTTGCTGCGGCGGCTTTAAGTGACTTTTGTCAAACTTTGTGCGCTCGGCTATCCAAACACTAGTACTTATAGTTATCGAAGGGGTCTGAGGGGTCCTTGAAGAAGCAGGAAGAAAGGGGGGGGGGGGCAGGAAGATACCCACATTAAACTAATGTTTAGTTGGCAGTCGCAACAGTTTTGCGAGTGTTGCGACCCTCGAAACTTTGACCGTAAATTGTGGCACGTGATGGGCGTTTGCAATGGAATGGGATGATGTCGTATGAATCGCAATGGTGGGGAATATCAGGAAGTGCCGCGCTATGATTGTCCAGGGGGGCGTGACCGAGGCAATTGTTATTTTTCTTATTTCTCCAGCTCTGAATCGAATTGAATTTTTATGGCCTGTGACAGTTTGGAGTGGAGCCATCCAGTTCAGAGAATGGGGAGAATATTTTATTTCTGGACATTTGGAACCAAATTCGTTACTCTACCCCTCCGATTTTCATGCAACAGGCAATTGGAATACAAATACATTGGAAATAAGGGAAGCAACGCCCTATTAAGCTGATTGCGTTGCGAATTTTGATTAACTAGTTCTTTGACACTTAAGATCGAGAGTGGAAAGTGGAAAACCGGCTAATTGATTGCCTTGCAGTAAAGGAAACTAAAAAACATACTCCCCTCATAGTTAATATCAATAAACATTTAACTACGTAAATATTCATACCACTCTCTTACTATCTCTCTCTCTTCTCTTTTTTCTATCTCTTTCTGGCCTGCCATACAGATAAAAATCCAATTTAAATAAAACTTTTTTCGTTACACTCACCACATAAAGGCAATATGCAAATATTAAAAAAAAAACACTCAGAAAATGTTAAACAAAAGTAAATGAATGCAAATTAAAAAGCACGACGAAAAGCCAAAAGCAAATAATAACAGCAACAATGTGTTCATAACTATTAAAAACGGAAATTAAACATATATGAAAAAACAAAGCGAAGGCTTAACGCATTATGCTAAATCGAAACCAAGCCAATCTCATCTGAATCTCTACTATCGCATCCATGTTTCTGCATTCGTATCTGCATCTGCACCCGTACCCGCATCCGTAAATCTATCTGTATCTTTGCATCTGCATCTGGGCGAATAAGACGATGCAGCAAACATGCCAGCTAAATTCGAATACGAAACCCAGAATCAATACATCAATCAGTCCAGCAAGCAACCAATCAAGCAATTCTATCATCAATTTGCAACTGCCATCAACTCATCAACAATAAAAACAGCAACCAGTACGACTGCAACAACAATCCCAACTTAAATGCCACAAATTAAAAGCACCCAAATTAAAGCAAATACAGCAAGTAAACTAAAATAATTCTAAATAATAAACCTAATAAAAAATAGCCTAACACCACTCGAAGGCGAACAAAAAGCGAGTTAAATTAAATTTTCATATTAATTATGGAACATTCATCAACAATTTTGTTGTGTTTGTTCCATTGCAAAAACAAAAAGGTCGCCGATTGTTTGCAGCTGCAGAAACAACAACAACAACAACGACCACTGGGAAATTCTACAACAACTTCAGTAAGAAAATCGACCAGAAGACCAACAACATCAGCAGCCCAGCAACAACAACAACAGCCACTTCTTGGAGCAACAACAACCTTTAGCTTCAATACAACAAAATTGCTGGGTAAGTGAAATTGGAGGAACAATTTGCGAGTGAAACGAAACGGAATGGATGGGAATAGAACGCTCTATAAATCCAGCGAATTAGCAAATGCTGAAATTTAATTTCCACACAATTTTCACAGCAGACATGTCGGATTCAACTCAGCAAATACTCACATATACTATATGTGGGCAACAAATCTGGTTGGAATTGCTGCAGTTAAATTTGAATCTGAGTCAATGGGGAATACTCTTGCCCAAAAAATACATCCAACTGCGTGCTAAAAGTGTGGAAGAGGGATAAATGTCAGGATAAAACGAAGAGCCAAGTACTAGGAAGGGACTTTTCAATGAGGTAGTAAAAAAGTGTTGCAAGAAGAGAGGTATAAATGGGAACTAAATCCAATTAAGTGCACTTGAAAAAGATATAACATCTGATGGAGGGATTTCGAATTGAAAGTACAACATTTCTACATTTTTATTCCTATGACTTAGAAAATTACCTAATGTTGACCAACCTAGGCAACTGAAATATACTTATTTTTTGTATTTTAAGGATAAACATATTGAAATCCGAAAAACAAATTTTTTTTATTATTCCTTTTGGATTTTTTTTAATGCATAAAAGAGCTAAGAACAATTTGTTCTTTATTTCAAAGTTTCTCATATATCTGGTTAAATTTAATAATACTAAAAGAATTAATATGTTTTTGTTATTACTAAAGTTTTTAAAAATAAATAAATAAAAGTATATAAGCATTTGCACTATTATTAAAAAATAAACTAAAAAACCAATCTTTGAAAACTATTTATATTTATATTTGGTTTCTCAAAGAAGTGAAATATTTAGGAATATCCTATATATTCTTTTCTGCCAACAAACCTTGGCGATTTGTGAATATGCCCAAATGTGGGATTCTTTAGGGCAGTGGAAAAACTTGCAACTTGTCAGAGTGACGCCTCGGCCAGCCAGCAATCAAATAGTGTCGAGCTCAGCGTTGTCGGAACTGAAAAAAGAAGTAAACTAGCTGGAAAATTTAAAATGGCATCAGTGCAGCGGCATGAAAAACTGCAAATCGTCGCCAACGCAATTCGAGTCGACTGTCTGTCCCCCAATTTTCCCCGCCTGATGCTGACCAATTCGTTGTTGGTTGTTATGAATTTTATATTACACACGAAAATCCAATAAAAATCACCGAAAGCAATTTTCCGTCCAACGGAAAAGTAGAGGAGTTACAGGAGGGGCATAAAGACGTTTTGGAAATTCCTTGCCATCAGCTGCATTTTGACTGCCATTTTTTTTTACACATTTTGTGAAATTTCTGGCACACACGTTGCTGACCAAAAAAATGTGTTTTATTAACTTCTTTTTTTCATGTCAACAACTTTTTTTAACGGATGCGGAACACGATGCATTTTGTAGCCTTTTAAAACCGATTTTTTATGGGGCTGTCGTGGTGCAGTGCCGAAAGTTGCTTAATTTGATTTTAATTCACGGCGGGAACACGAAATTGGCATCACCAAAAAAGAGAATGCAACAAATTTGAGTTCAGGGAAAATTACGAATTGCCATTTGTTGGCTCAGCATTAATTAAAACTTCAACGAGTTTACTTAAATTTGGAACGACAACGTTGTTTTTCCATGTGCAGTTGAATTTTGGGTGTGTTAAAAACGGTTCTTTTAGAATTGAAATATACTGATAATTCGGTGAGTTTAAGCTGAGCTCGCTGGACATGTGACATTTTGGCTGAAATGTCCATTTCCCCAGTTGTCAAGGGCTTATAATAGTTTTCCATCCGCCCCCTCATTTGTTTGATGTATTTTCCGCTTTTGGCCCAGTGGTCTGACCATCTCTGTGTTGGGTCCTTTGAATTCCAGTTGGCTTACTTCATTGCAGCCAAACTGTCGTATGCAAATCTGCTTTGCTGATTAAACCTAAATAATGTTGCCTCAGTTACGGAGCCCTTCCTTTGCTCTGGGCTCCCTTTTCCCAGGGTCCCTTTGGATAGTTCCCTGGTTCCCTTGGCTTCTCTGGGTCCCCATCTCCATTTCCATCTCCAATCTCACATTGTCTTGCCTGTCGTTCTGAAAGATGGTAGTACTACTATTTTAAAGGTTTAACAAGTTTGCATTCCACTTGGGCAGATGCGACTTGGATTTAAGATCGGGAATTTATATTTACACTGCTCAGCTCTTTTTACCATAGATTGAAGTGCGGATTTGTTCGCAGAATTATGGTTTATTAAATTTCTCTCAATAGGATCTGCTTTCGAGGGCATTCGTCCTTCGTTTCCTGGAAAATTGCAGTTGCCTTATCCTTCTTTGGCTTTTCCCGCTCTTCACTTTGCTGCTGCTGCTGCTGCTGCTGCTGCTGCTTATTTTCTTGCCTCGTTTTTCTTCCTGCTAAATCTGAGACAATTTCCAACTTATAAGAGGCCGCATCCATTTGTATAATAACACAGGGTCCTGCATCCTGCAGCAACAGCTTCCGCTCGCCGTGTCCTGGCCACTTGTTGTTGCCCACCCACACAGATGCAGATGCTGATGCAGATACAGATACAGCTGCAGATGAACCCGCACAGACACTGGTGCAGCTCACCCACACCGAGGACACCCCAATGTATTTTTTGTTTTGCATTGCCGGATGCCTTTGGTGTATTTCCTTTTAGCCTGTCTGCTGCACGAAGTACAGCATTTCCAATTTAATTTCTGTCTCGGTGGCCCCTCGGCTCCTCGGCTCCCCGGCTCCCTTTATCCGCATCCCATATCCTGGCTGGCTCGGTTGGGTTTTCCCGGCCGTGGCCATTGTCTTTGCCATTGTTTGCTGTGCCATTTCCCTTTTGCGCCATGAAATTAACTCGAATCTCCCTCTCGTTCTCTGGTTATCTCCACTTTACTGCCTTCAATAGATTATAGTTGAATATTTTTGGTCGCCATTTTAATTAAACTGCGCCAATGGCTGCGAAATTGTTTATAATGTCAGCTGCACATCATCCCCATCATCGCCGCCATCATCCGCATCCGCAGCTGCCTTGGCTGCTCCTCTTCATAATCGTTGTCATCATCATCCGCTTGCCATCACCATCGACAGCCTCATTACCGATGCGATATCTGACCCAGTTGAGGGGCAACAGGCGGCTGGGGATGAGTTCGTGGCTGTATTTTCGGCTCAAAGGTCATGCTTAAGTTGATAAAAGATAACGTAGGTCGAGGACTTTAGCTGGCTAAAGGATCAATATTAAAATATACTTGTTGAAATGGGGCTGGCTTTAGGATTAAAAATAAAATAGAAAGCATAAAAGTGTCTAAAATTATGCAATAATAAGTTTGAAATCATCCTTTTTATTCGATTAAGTTAATATTTCCTTTTCACAGCATAGTTTTAGACTCAATTTTTAAGTGCTTTTCACTTTATTATTGGATTACAAATTGCGATTAAACTACAATTTAAGTAAAATTAAAAATTTATTCATAACATTCCAATTTTTTCTACCACCACTTCCTGAAAAAAGCTAATTTATAAACAAATAAAATAAATCCTATTATGGTTTATGCTTCGTGATTGCTCACGAACCCACTTCGAGCTAGCAAAACAACAAATAAGCTTCTTTCCGTTCGGCAGTTCTCTCTTCAGTGCACTTTTGCATTTCCCTTGTTGCTGTTGTTGTTGTTGTTGTAATTACATAGCACTTGTTGTTCTGGCTTTGTGCTAACAAAGGCCTTGACTCCACCCGCACCGCCCACCGCCCACTTCAGTGAAATGCGCTCTCAAAAGGGAGAAGAGGCGCCAATAACCTCACTCGAAAGGCAGCGCACCAAAGTATGCAGCAGTATTTTGTCGAAATGACTTTTGACGTTCGCTCAATGGCAATATTTGCAGCGTCCATGCGAGTGAGTGTGTGTGTGTTGTGAGAGTGTGTGGGGGAGGAAACGGGTGTGTGTGTGTGTGTTTATCGCCATGTTAGCAGCTGAATGAATGAATGAATGAACGAATGAATGGCCAAAAGCGAACTGAGGCGCCTGAGTGCGTCTGTCATTCTGTCAGCTTGTCAGCCAACGTTCTAATATCGAAAACACTCTAAATTCTATGCTGAAAGCTCATTTTACATGCAGTTTTACTTTGATTGGCTTTCGAATCGCACTTAGCCGCTTGATTAGCCAGCTCAACGAACATTACCCAGTCAATCAAGGTTTTAGTTCTGACACCGAGCAAAATAGCAACGAACTGGCACTAAAATCGATATCATTATAAGGCAGGAAATTTCGTTTTCAATTTTTAAGTACTGTTTATATAGAAATTGTGGAGTTTTAGAGTTATAAAACTGGTTGAGCGGGACCCCTCAATAAGCTTAAAGTTTAGGCTTGTAGTACCTATTATTAGGTAACCACGCTCATAGAAAAAAACGGATATTTATGAATTTTTCACGTGTGTATCAGGGCTTACATTGTTCAAATCCCTGGCAACTAAGCCGCTAAGTGGATTCCCTTGAGCATAATTTGCAGCAGGCTAAAGCAAATTTGTGCAGCAATCTCCTGCCAGGCCGATGTGTGTATGTGTGGCCACCAAAGGGTTCAATTATGAACCGACGACCGCAAAAAGTTGAAACCTCAAAGCGGATATAGTGAGGCACTTGTGGCGCAGGTCGGGGGCAGCAGCAGGTAATTTGAGGCCTTGTGGAGTGTGCTAAAAAATGCAGCCACCAGATGGGCAAAGCTCAGTTCACAAGGGAGCTAAAGCCAGATTCTTTGCGGGATTCCAGTTTTTTATGCTCCGATTTTTGTCGCGCCTATGTGGCCCACGTGAAACTTTTTTCTGGTGGCGGAGGGAGTATGGAAAATAGGGGAATATATCTGGGAGGAGGTCAAACGATGTGGTTGGGGTGAGGACTCTTACTCTTTCAATTTCAAGGCTCATTGTGTACGACGGCTGCCTCTCATCATTGGCGAAGCATTAAATTGACTTTGAAACTTTTTACCTGCCTGCTTTTGTGCCAAAAGCCCGCACCAAAAACAGCAAATTGGAGCGAACTAAACTTGAAATTAATTAACCACGACAAGGGCGAGGGGTCCTGAGCACCCCACCATTAAGCCATTTTACCCTGTTCTTTTTCCTTTCTCCACTCGTGGGATACTAACGCGCACGCACACGAACATAACTCATAAAACCTCTAATTACACAAACAGCTGACGCAGCCATAGACAAGGATATAGAACCTGGGGGGTGGCCAAGGGGAACACTTCCTTTTTCGAAAGAGGGGGTGTGTAAGGTCTAAGGAAGTGGCCAAAGGGAACATTTCCTTTTCGAGGAGCGGGGATGCTAGGGTCTAAGGATATGCCCCTCCCTTTCAAGCTCACCGCTCGGGAATCAAATAAGTTGAATATTTTAATTTTCCATCATAATTAATGCCCTTTCAACCTTCCAACCCCCGGACTTAGTTTATCCCAGATGATGCGGTTGCTAAACCTTCCCTTCCTGCCCTCACGCACACTTCTCCACCCCCACATCCGCTCTCTTTCTCCCTCTGTGACCATCGAGCACGTGTAAATTATTGTGGCTTTCTACGGCACTGATGCCCGGCGCCTGAAAGCATGCTGCGATGTTTGCACCCAGCAGTTCAGTGGCAAATTGGTTGTTCTGGGTTCTTGATTTGCAATGTAACAGGTGGATGAAAAGATTTGCCCAATGCATACATTAATTTGCTGTAGAATTATTTTTCCTCTCTCCATTTAATGTTCTTTATCCTTTGCGCGAACTTTACTTGGTCAAAGTTTTAAGAAGAAAACTTTACAGCACTTGAAACCTTTATATTTGTTATTGGCATAAAGTGCGCTCAAAAGGCATTTGAATTTGTAATGTTTTTTAATTGGTTGCTATAAGAAACAACATTCAAAAGAAAATTAAATCATTAAAAAAGATGGCCAGGATTAATATGAAAGTAAATATTATGTAAATAGAATAAAGAGACATACACACAGAAAATTCTGACCTTCTCATCTGAGTTAAAAATGTTCTTAAAAATAGAACGACATTTTTATGCTGAAAATGTTTTTTTTCTCGAATCAAGTTCATTTGGCGGTGTTTATGTACATTGTATATCTCAACAAATAAACTATTAGTTCAGTCCGTAGTGTATAGTTAAAAGTTGTTAAATAAACTCAATTTAACTTTTCTCTTCTCTACATTTCGTTATAATATTGAGAACATTGATACCAAAGTGTACTTACACGTTTTTCAAGAACGAATGTTCTCAATTCAAGAAAAATGTTCTTGGATATTTCTCTCTGTGTACTTATAGTTTTGTAAACGTTAAACTTAATATTTTTAAATGTCTTTACTTTGTTTATGCATCTTAAATATTATATTCTGCGTATTGATAACATATTTTTTATTAACGTCTAAGGGGTATCCTTTAGTGCAGTAAGTCCACATGCTCTATGCTGTTTATTTTTCGTTGTTCTGTGGCATAGCAGCTCATGCCACACGCAGCCTCGATGCCGCCGCCGCCGCATGTATTTCAATTACTGCATTTCTCGGCCCAATGCCCAGCCACGCCCATTGCCCGCCCCGCCCTTCGATTCCCCGCCCACTCCACCGCCCACTCCACCATTCCGAAAGCCAGTAGCCACTGTTTTAATTTGCGCTTCGCCTGCTTTTGTTATTTTTCTGCTTCGGTTTTCCCTTCTTGTTTTTGTTCGACTCGCGTTTTTACGCAAATTCATTGTTTTAATTTACTCAAGTTTGTTGACCGAAAACCAAAACTAATCAATGGCTGGGCCCTCGCAATGGGTGGTTCATTGGTTTTGGCGGGGTCATCGAAGGCTTCCGAGGTGACAGAGCAGCTGCAGTTCGTCCCACCCTGGAATCGGGTTAAAAAACCCCAAATAGCCCCTCTGACAGTATATATTTTTTAATCAAACATTAACTCAGCTAAACTCTTTGTTGCCATTTTTTTTTGGTGTTCATTCCGTTTTTCAGGTATTTGTCTTTGCGGTCCTTTGCCTTTGCGGTAAGCAGTTTTATATCAAAGGACTAAACTGAGCCAGGACTTGTATAGGGGGAAACCTCAAAAGCGGAGAAGATTACGACAAATCGCGTTAAATGAGAAACGGGGTATCATCATCTATTGAAAGGGGACTAAGTACTTGGCTCAAGGGGATAAACGGGGGAGCATTTGAGAAAGGAGAATAACTAAACACGGTAGATATTGGAGGCTCCGAAGTGGAAGTGGGCTAACTTAAGTTTGTTCTTTGAAGTTGACCATGTTTTAATGGGTTTGAATTGTAGAAAAAAAGTATAAGTTAAAATTTAACTCAACATTAAAGTTTATAACAATAAGTCCTTAAAAAGTTTTCCTTAGAGCTCTTTCTAAAATAAAAAATATTTTTTTTCCCACAGCTAACATCTAACAACTGAACGATACAACGATACTAAACTGTATTAACAAGGATAAGGATCAGCACTACCAAAAAATCAACCAGAACAACAACAACTGCTACCTAAGGTTTCTCAAACTCTAAAAACAAATAACTTAAAAAGAAAATAAAAAAACCATATAAGCAAACCAGAAAAAAGTGCAAATTATGTAAATTATAGCAAAGGCAAAACGCAAAGGGAAAACCGAAAGGCAAACGAAAGAGAATTAATCAAATAGAAGAGACGGAAGCGAAAATCCAGAAAAAATATCTGTGACCAGGCGAAACCGGAAATTAAATCTGCAACGCGGAACCAAAGTGGAAGAGGAAGAGCTGGGCAGAGCCACGGAACCACAACCGCAGGAAAATCCGAAACGAGTAGAAGGAAAACGCGTGCCAAATATTTGCTTCAAAATACGAGAATAAAATAATAATCTTAAAGAGCTGCTCCCACGAGCGACGAATTGAGAGATTCCAGTTTGCTGTCGAGATAACTATAGTAGTTAGTTCAAGCATCCCATGAAGACTACGTTGCACTGGGAACACTAAGATCTTGGTGGCTGGACTTCGGGACTTCAGACCTCTACATTTCCATTTCCATTGTTGAGCTCTGACCCACACGGCGCATTGTCTCGGTCTTTTGTGCTAATCACCGCTAGTTGGGAGCTCCGGGAGCAGGAGCCCTGGCCAACTATTTAGCCAAGGTGACGAGGCAAGGATTGCCAGGCACTTTGCAGCTCGACCAGACCAACACCCATACCAACACCCATACCCACTTTGAAAGGAGGCGGCGGAGCAGGGGCGGGGCAGCCATTCAACCCAAGAGCCACGCGATACAAACCAGCCAAGGACATGGACTCCCCGCTGCCAGCGTCGCTGTCGCTGTTTGTCCTGTTGATCTTTCTGGCGATAATTAAAGGTGAGTGCTCCACGACAACTATTCACCCCCAGCTATTCACCCCATTTCCAAGCCCGGCTCCTTTTGAATCCAGGTACCGCTTTTGTTTGTCTTCCAGCGACGTTTACCTGGGCCAACAACTTTCCCTTTTTGGCCCAGGTTTGCTTAGGTGGTCGCTAATGAAATAATTGTAAATATTAAAGTACGCGGTAAAACTTGGTTGAGATTTAGGGCAAAGTGGTCTTACGAAAGAGCAAGCCCTTGCAGCTTTTATGAGCTCTACAAAGGGCTGTAGAAGACATATTTCATTCCATTACCCAAACTTATTTGAGATCAAGAAAAGGAGAGCATCAACAAATAAAACATTAATTGCATGCTTTATTAATTTAAAGAGTAATTTTTGTTCAAGATAGTCGTTGTGCTAATTAATTACTCAGTTAAAATAAAAGATATTTTCAAAAAACAAAGAGAATTTAAACTTTTTGGGTGAACAAAAAAACAATGGCTTTAAGATAAGAAGTGTTGTGCATTTGGCAAGAGCTTTTTCATGATTCAATAGAACATAAATTTTAACTGAACGTTTAATCCCAAAATAGATTTCCCTTTCGCAATTTAAGAGACCATGAACTTAGAGTTCACATTGTGAAAGGTCAAACATTATCTATGGACTTACAAACTTATTACACCAATGATACTGTTGACTCTGCCAGTTGTTGAACGTCTCCCCTTACCACAGACTAACATTTGCGTTAACAAGTGCTCGAGATTTTTTTGCTTTTCGCTGAGAGTGGCGAAACTCGAACAAATCCCACTCATGTCGGCACTATCAATTTCAAATGCGAAATCTCCACTTCCACCGCGCATAAATCTTGTGGCAAGGTGACACCGTGTGGCCTTGCGAGCTGAATAGCGCCCAACAGCCCAACCGCCCATCCAACCATCCACCCATCCGACACATTATTCAATTCCGCATCCGATTTTTCAATTTCCTTGCGAGCGTTTTCACGGCGCTTTAAGCAGGCCAAGAAATGCCGGCGGAATGTAAAAGTAAAAGCCAAGCACTCCTACCATTCACAAATACGAAAACACTCAGCTACAGCCATGGCGGCCATATCTATTATATAGGATGGTGCATTGTGTGTGTGGCGGTGGTGTACGTACATGCGGGAAATTCCCAGGCAGCGGACCATAAATTCACATGGAGATCGCCCTGAGCCAAACTTGGCCATATTTTTAGTTTTCACTGCTCGCTGAGCTCCGCAATTGCCAGAAAAGCGGGAAAAAGTTCAGAAAAACAAAGACGCAGACGTGGCGGAGTGTGTTTTTTTTTTTTGGGGTAGTGGGTGGATGGTCGGTCGGTTGGTGCAGCTAAGGAGACAAATATTCAAGTAGAAAAAATAGAATTGTCATGCAGAGGAGCCCCCAGGAGGCCGCACTTCAAATCCACATTCTTTTCCCCGGAGTCGCTCGAGCACTCGCCGGAAAATACACACCAAAAGAGTGGAGAGCAGGGAAAACAAAAGCCCCTTTTCCTTTCCCAAACGTTATACACAATATCTGTCTTTTTTAAGTTGCATCGAGAGTCGAGAAGTTCTGTGTATTTTTTTCATGGCTCCGGTCCGATGAAGTCTCATGTGCCCTCTTTTGACAAAAATAACAGCGTGCGGTGTGGGTCGTCGCATTTCAACTCAATTCGCGTTGTTTGCTTCAAGTGTTTCCACTGCCATGGCGTCCTGAATGCCCGAAATTAAGTTCATATTCAGCTTTGAAAAAATGTACTAGCTCGTAAAGTAAAGAATAGAACGAGCTTAGGTTGACTTTCAAAATATGTAGGGAAGAAAGAGATAAAATCTCATGTTTTTAATTTTTTTGCAGGGTCTTGTAAAATCTATAAAGCTATCAATTTCAGTCTATTGTTGTAACACAAGAATGACAAAAATTCACATTTTTAAAAAAGGCATAATGATATCTTTAAAGTAATATTTCTCAATGAAATTCTGATAACACCTTTCTTAAATTATGCAATTTGATTTTAGAAATGTTAAACAGTCAGCTAATTAATAGCCGGTTGCAAGTGAAGACCACTGGCAAACATGCCACACAATAACACTATTTTAATTAGAGACACTTAACACTTGAGTAGCTTTTACTTTAGAGGCGATAACAATAATTTTCCAGCCCTATGAGCTCATATTAAGCTTATGAAGTAGGCATGAAATAATAATTGAAATTAATATGTTAATGTAAAGACAACCCAACAGGTTACACTTTGTCGAGAATTTAACGATAAATTTGAGCCTGATTGCTTCCTGACTGCAGACCAGTGAAATGATGGCAGTTCGCAATAGACCTCCTGCAATCTCTTTCATTTTTGGGATCCTTTTGAAAGACCATTGTCTTCATGCCGCGGAAAAGTTATTACTTAAGCATCGCTGAGGGAGTTGAGACCGGGAAAATCTTTGACTTTGTCTCGACCCGTTGCGCGTTGTCTGCTGTTTTTTATTTGGCCACCCACTTCCTCATCAAGCTCATCCTCATGCCATCCACATTCCCGATTCGTTTGAGATGCCCCGACAGAGACTAATGAAGACGGCAGTTTTCAGCTCGTAGCTCGCTGGGGATGGGGTCTAGAGATTGTTCGGCCAAAGACAAATATTTTCAATAAGCTGATATCGGGGTGTGCACTGATTGGAAAATCAGCAGTTGAAAATTGTCGGGCCAAGAGGGCGACAGAGAGAAATACGCAATTTTTCAGCACTCGGAGCCTTATTGCTTTTGTTGCCTGGCAGTTGGCAAACGCATAAATTGTGCGGAAATTCGAAATTCGAGGCTGGGCTGCACCAACGACACCTTGGCACTGTCAACCGTTACCGGGTATATATGGCCGGTCATATATTTTATTTTAAGACATTTTACGCATTTTCGTGCATTTAAATGAAATAAATTTCTATTGGATTTGCGTGTGCAAAGCTTGGCTGGACATTTTCGGCCTTAATTTGCTTTGGCTGGTCTAGGAATCGGTTATATTTTACTCCCTCTAAATTTCGGATGTGACTGGGATTACTTGGCCGCATTGTATTTGTTAATATCCTTGTTAATATCCTGAGAACTGGCGCAGAAGTTCTGGCAATGACGAAACTTCTTCCATCTTCCATTGGCTTAAGCCAACTTTCAAACTTGCCACCGTCTGTTCCGCCAGGTAAAGCGGATAACTCAGACTCGGAACCAGACTCCATCTCCAACTGCGACTGTGGCTCTAAATCTGAATCTGAATCTGTATCTGTATCTGTAAATGTATCTGACTGTGACTGTGACTTTGGCTTTGGTTAGGGCTTCCGGCCTCCGGTTGATCCCCGCTCACCGCACGCAGGACGAAACTTTCAAGGTTGTCGAGGTTCTGTATCTGAAACTGTATCTATTTATATGTATATATTGTATCTGTATCTGTGGACCAGGACAAAGGCGAACCAAGTTGCAGTGCAAGGAAAACAAGTTTCAGTTATGCGCTCTGCACTTCCGTGGCGCCATCGATGGACTAACCTTGCTCTGCTTATGACTTCCTTTTGTTGAATTGGAGATGGCCAAAGAGTTTCGAACATATTGGTCCTTTAAAAACCATCTAGGGTCCCTAAAAATATTTATTAAAATTATTCAAGTCACAAAGTTATGTTAGAACGTTTTGTTATTTCAGAATAAATATTTCATATAAGCACCATTTTCCACTCAATCCTTAAAAAATTGCTTATGATACTGTTTCAACTTTTGTTAGGGATTTCATACCTTTGTAATTAATGTTGGTTGGGACGATTTCCCTATGTAATGCTAACGTAGTAGTTTGTTATTTGTCAGAGAAAATTAACATGAAGCTAAATTTTTGGAAAGGAAAAAGTCGTTTTCCCAATGTCATGTTAATTTTACAAACGAAATATACAGTATTTTTCTTTGTATCGACCGATATCTTGACCAGAACATAGCCTCTAGTTAAGATGATAATACCTAAAATGATTTGAATAACTTATTTCTTTGAATCGATAGTTTAACTCAATGATAAAAATAGCATGCCATTGAGAAATCGATCCTAAATACACCATAGCTAAGGGATTTTATCACCATATCTTATAACGCGCAGTGATTCCGTGACTCACGACCTCATCGCTTTATGGGTGGGTCTGGTTCTAAACCGCGCCCGCCTTTGGGGCACCTGTAGGCATCGTGCTCGCCCAACTCCACATCCGGTTCCTCCTCATTGTCATCCTTGAATGAGTCAGCGGTGCCGCCACAAAAGTTTGCAAATAAGTATTTTTTATACTGCCAATCCGGGCATCTCTACCCCGCGGAATCGTAAAAAAATACGAGAGCAGGGAGGGAACTTAGTGCTGCGCCTAAATAACCGTAAACAGCACTCGTGGGCCCCTGAAAAACAGCAAAAAGCGAGGGTAGATAATACGGAGCAGAGCAGAAACAAAACTTGATAAGCATAAATTTGCTGTAATTTAACGCATTCAATTACAAAAACAAAAAGGAAGACGGCGTATGTAAGGAAAAGTCGGGGAAATAATGTTGAGAAAACAGGAAGATAAAATGGCGGAGGGATAGGCGGGGCCCTGAGACTTGAGACTTTGTGCAAGCTGCGCGCGGCGACTTACTTAAAAATGTCATAAAAACGAAACAAGTAACAGGAGAGGACTAAAAAGAAAGGGGCCGGAAGGAAGTCGGGATGAGAACAGACCTTGGCATACCTCACCTCCCATTTCCACTCGGGAATTTCCATCCACTTTACGACCTTGTATCGGCTTTCGACGACTTTCTGATTACGGGGAAATTCCTTACTTAATTTCAATCAGCTGTGTGGGGTCGAGTTCCCCACATCAGCTTTCAAATCCGCGGTGGAAAATTATGATCTAACTCAACTAATAGATTTTTATGTAGTTCAATGTTACGAATGCTTTAGTTTTTATTTCCACACTTTTATTAGCATATCCATTATTTTGGAAACCTTTTTATATACAGTCGCATTTGAA